CCTTCTTAAGATCCAATAGAGCAAAATGCAAATTCTTGCACTTTTTTGACTGGTCTTAAGATTTTGATCAGGAGTGTATTTCCAAATGTATTGTAAAATAATTGATCGGAGAAATCAGTGTTGGCAAAGCATTCATGTTGTGTCAGGATGAGTACCTCACAAACAAACTCTTCCTTGGATAAAAACAAAAATGTGTAAGAAAACAATCATTTAGTCACAAGTTGTTCAGATTTTTTTTTATTCGCAAAACTCATATGCACATGACTTCATAGCTGACCGAAAGAAAATCGTCAAAATGTTTAAATCAGACTGTTCTCTGTGAACACATTTTATCAGTCATTTCCAGTATCAACATGTCTACAGAAATTACATGAAAAGATACATTTTAGTCCATCTTTCTCTCAATCACCCATTCAATCCAAACTAGAGTAAAAAAAAAAGTTCCCTGTAGAACATCCAGGGAATCTTAAATACTAAACTAAAAGTGATGCTGCTGGAGCTGCTTCATCAAAAGTAGCATCAAAGATACAAAAATGGTAGAAAATTCTGACGATGGCAAATTTTGACCTTGACCCAAGGTCTGAACACAGTGAATACAGTCGAAACGCACAGTTTACTGTCTGAGAAGCAGCTCAGCAGTTCTACAATATTATATAAAAAAATAAAAATAACAAAAAGATGAAAAAACTGCTGAAGAAAAGGCAACAAATAAAGATAAAGATACATAATATTCAGTTCTTCTGTTGGTAAATGTTGTTGTTTCAACCTGTGATATAGTCATCTCTGAAATAAGTATTTCCATTTAAATATTTAACAAAACCACATTKACACCKGTCTCCACTTATTATGATCAAGCGAAACATCAAATTGTTTGAGTTCATCAAGAAATAAATAAACTCTAAATCATGGCTGCTGTTTAARCCTCATTTCATCTGTTTAAACCGARAGCACTTCCTGTTTCTGAGGATTCATTTAGTTCGTATCTGATTGTCTTGTGCAGAAACAAAATGACTTTAAATCATTAAATCAAATGGAGTTTGTTTTAATGAGTCAAAATGAGTATTAGTTCTGCACAATATGGCAGCATCACCGGTTCACTGGTTTGTTGTTGTGGCTGTGGGAGGAAACTAAAGTACCAGGAGAAAACCCACATGTGCACATGTCATCATTTAGCTCTAAATACTGTTTCCATCCCCCGGACATTAATACTACATTTCCCAGATTTCCTGAGTGGATGGAACACACCCTTTGAGGTATAACAATACAATGAAATACCATTTTTTTTATAAATGGTACTTTTTTCAGGTTTTTGAGTATTTTCCTTCCTGCTAACRTGACTTTTTCTTTACACTAGAAGATTTTTTTTTTTCTGTTCCGTGACTTTAAGCATCCAACAAACATATGGTTTATTTTTAAATCCTTTCAGGTATCCTACCACTGCAGTGAAATGTTTATTTTGCATTAAAAACTGACTGCTTCTGATGTAAGTTCATGTGTTCATGTTTTTTTTTTTCATATAAGCAACCTTACAGTGACATTTTTCTGCACAAAGATACATTTAAAACAATTTTGTATAAGGATTTTAATGCATTTTTTATTATAAAATGGTTAATTTTTACACTTATGTAATGGCATTTTACCTTTTCTTAAAAACTTCTTAAAACTAAGTCTGTGCCTTGTCTTAAAGCAAAGTCTGTTAACCTGAATATAAATAAACTTTGGTCAAATATGTAGAAACTCCCTTATTTCCCTGATTTTGTTAAATAAAACAAGACATGCTTCCATCCTGTGCTTCAAACAATACAAGCATTATCTGTGATTTTTCCCATAACAATTTAACTTGACTCATTTCTTCATTTGTTGGTTTTCCACTTCTGATAATGTCCCTGGAATGTGGAAAAGATGAGCTGTTTATCGCAGCATTGTGTGAAGCTGCAGAGATACAGAAACAGGAAACTCTTGGGAACACGTTCCATTTTGCAGCATGTTTCAGATAAATTACAGTTGGTRACATATCTCAAAATGACTCACTCTTTAACCTAAATAACCACAGAATATAATGTAAATAACCGTGTCAGGCAAAACCGGCAGTGGTGGAAGGATTGAGGAAACAGTGTTTGCACAAAGGGCCGTAAAATGATTGAAAGTTGAGTTGGTCTCGGCTTCCCTCAAACTAGCCTTTAGCTCATCAGCCTCATCAGAATGAAACTTCAAACTATCATAAATCAAACAMCTTTCTAACAGGGTTGTAACAATACATCGATCCATATCAATATATTGATTGATGATGAAGGATTTAACTACATCAAAACAAAAACATCAATCCATATCATCCATCATACCTGATATAAATCAATATATCTGTCCATCTAACACAATCATTGTACTAAATGATTGTGTTAGATGGACATATATCCTATTGATCGCAGACTTGTGAATTGAATTGAATTGAAATAGTATCATGACAGACTTTGTGATATTGAGAATCACCGAATCGTCATCCAAACAAATCAGGATATTGTACTACTGGTACTGTGACAAAGCTGGTGATTTACACCTCTACTTTTGACAATTATGATATTATTTGATCTTAATCTTTCAAGAGAACCCTACTTTAAAGAAAAAAAACCTTCTTAACTCCTTTAGATCTAGAACAAGCCTAGTGTAAATCTGTTTGGTGAGTGCAACGTTGCGTTTTCATGTCACCARCCTCAATCATGAAAATCCTACCAACCAAGAAAAACAATCAAACAGCCTCAGGACAATAGATACTTAGAAAAAATGAAACATATGTTGCATTAAGCATTGTTTTTACAAATCTATAGTGATAATTTCACTATTTAAGCTGGTACKWAGACTTTAATCCTAAATAAGWGCTTGGAAGGTACAATCAATAATCACTCATGTTTCATGCAGTATCATTTGTTTGCCTATAACTGTGGGAAATGGACACGGCACATCATAGGGTTGTGAGGGTCTATAGCTATTGTCAGTCGTGGCTAATTCTATATTTAAAAGATAAAATGTGGAGCCGGAGCTGAAGCACAGCAGAGAGGGATRGGGCAGACAGGTTGTTTCTGCTTAAAAGTATCTTTGAACTAAACTTCATTTGAGAAATCATGTGGAGATCATTTAAACGAAGGTTTAATTTAAAGCAAAATGGAAAAATTAAAACAAAAGTACATAAATCATGGCCTCTGGTTTCTGTTTTTTGATCAYAGGAACTAAAATCTAAATCCCATATGTTGGCATCTACTTCTGTGAGATTCTTCCTGTTCTGCATGGATTTCCAGGAGTGTTTGGGACACTTCCAGTCACTCAATCTGCCGGTGACTCCTGCTGTCAAATATCATGGACCTTCTCTGAGGCTGATAGAAGCAACTGGTTGAAGTCTCCAGCCTCTGTCCGCTCTTTGGGATGGTCATTTTATTCTGAAGTGAAATCCCTTCTGGCGTCCTGAAACTGTCGGCTAACTCTTTAGAAAGGACGTTCAACGCTGACGTGTCGTTCAGGCTCTTGATGGATGACAGGAGCCTGCCATCATCTCCTGATGGTGGGTAGTCCATGATGGGGAAAGGGGGGCTGAGAAGGATCAGACTCTGAGGCCTCTGTCGGTTCCTAAAGGATGGTCTTTGCAGTAAAGTCCCTCTGTTGGGTCTGGGGCAATCTACGAACACTTCCAGACTGGGAGTGTGTCTCCTGGTTATGACGGGCAGTTCTGGAATGGATGTGGTCCTTCCTGACTCGGCAGATTTCTGAATACTTGGGGTTTTCAGGTGTTTTGGACCAGGTTCTTTGTTCTCCAGCTCTTCCTTTAGATCCGTCATCGCCAACGGAGGCGCCGCGCCACTCGTTTCCACACTTGCTTTGGGGCATCCCTTGTCTTGTTCCTTCACTGTGCTGAAATCACTCTCTAGATTATTGTGAGGCACCTGGCTGTACTGCACCTTTGGCGGGACGACGGGCACGGCCTTAGCCTGGCATTTTTTGATCATGAAGGCCGTGCGCACCGATGACACGCTGACCGGGGCCGAGTTYCGACGAAGCGGCGCCTGCCGATCGCTCAGAAACAGCTCCAGGTCAGATTGCCCTCTAGTCACAGTTCCGGATGAAGCGGGTAAACYTTTCTGACACGAGGAGAACTCTGATGAGTTACGGTTTTGCTGATTTGAAATGTCTCTGATRTAGCGATGGCTCAGGTCTAGGTTTAGTGAGCAGGGTCTGGTTTTAGAAGAGCGACTTTCTTCTCTTTTCTCCAGTACAGCCGTTTCAAAAGACATTTGTCTGTTAAACYTCTGAGATGAYGCTGCAGTTTTCTGTTTTGCTGAGCTGCCCTTTGCTGTTTGAGGTTGTGTTGTATTACTGCTGCTTAGACTCAGTCGAGTTGTCGGCAAACGCTTAGTCTCTGAGTTGGGATTCTGAGGAGGATGCCCTGAGGACTGTTCAGTACTCCCAGTAAAAGGCTGTTTGTCATCATCACCTGAAGGTGATGGAATCTGGCCACCCTCTGAACTCTGAGTTTCTCCCTTTGAGCTGAAGGGGGACAGCTGGTTGAACAGCTCCTCTATATCTGGTGAGTGGAGAGGGCTGGTAACCCACTGCTTAGTGGAGCTAAGATCCTCCCAGGGCTCCACCAAGTCCAGCTCCTCCACCTGTTCCCCACATCCCTCTTCGTCGTCCRGCACTTCCACTGAGTTGCGTTTCTCCTCTAACCAAACTGAGAGTTTCTGACTCGCCTCCATCTCTGGGTTTAGGCTTTTCTTCGCTCCGTTATGAGAACTTTCTTTGTCCTCTTTAGGGACTTCGTGTTTTTGAGATGTTCTGTCTCTACAGTCGGAACCTGTGAAGCTTGCCACCTGTGGAAGATCTTTTATCGTTAAAGGGTTTATGATTTGATCTAAGTTGGTTTCCTTAAAGAAAGGTGGGCACTGCTTGGTATAAGCTGGGCCATCTGTGTTTAAAGGTAGGATTTGTTGCCTTTTTAGCCTCTCCTTTGCACCAGGAATGTCCTCAAGTYGGAGGTTTGGAAGTTTCCTGCCAGAGATGAGGTCAGCACTTTTGTGTACACAAACTAAGAGGTCCGATTCTGATGGCTGTTTCTGTTTGGACACAGACCTGGTGGCAGGTATCCGCTCACCCTTCGAGACATTTGATGAAGACTCCCTAGAGAGCAAAAACAAAGACGGAGAGCTTCGACTTCTCTTTGACTTGACATCCATCGTTAACTTAGAGCTCCCGCAAGTGCTCACTGAGGTGAAAACAGGTGTGGGAGTCTGACCCCGCAGCTCAGCTTCAGGCTCAGTTTTCTTTAACTGGATGCTTTCTCCTGTCGAGGGTTTGTGATCCTGGAAGATTAGAAATGATAACAAAAATACAAACAGCTGAAGTTAAAAAAAACAGATCAAAATTTGACTTTAAATGTCAGAAACAGCCTTCAATATGTGTTTGTGTGAGCCGAATAAATGAGATTCAAACCTTTTACGTAACCACATTAATTAACTGAAAAATTAAATACAAACAATGAGAACTAGAATTATTCACAAGTAATCCAAAATAAAATATGCTGATTCAGCATATTATTGCTTGTTTATTTTTCAAAATATGTTCTAGCACCTTCCTTTTTAGCTTTTAGTCTTTTTGTTTTTTAGCTAGTTTTTGCTCTCATTGCAAAATTCTACTTGTTTTAGCTGATATGTTTTGTTCTCTTTAACATTTCACTCTCAGCTTCTTCAATAAATTTTAGCAAATTATTTCTATACTCAGCTTTTAGTCTGTATTTTCATTTTTATTTCATCTTACATTTTGCAGAGATTGTATTTAATTTAAAGATACACCAAAAAGCTGAATTTTAACTATTGAGACATACAGATTTTTACAAAATAAAAGCACAAAATTTAGAAATATAGTTATCATCGAAGTTCAAATTAAAGAACAGCACRTACATCTCCAGTTAAATTAAAATCGTAACAAGTAAACATTTTACCAGTTGTGTTTCTGAAGGATGGTCATGTGTTTCTTCCCCAGAGGGAGGCGCTGCAGCCTTGTTTTCTCTTGCCTGTGCTTTGGTCAGTGCTTCCTGTTGAGAAGTTTTCTTCTCTTCTTGATTTTTTGGAATGACCTCTCTGCTTGAATCTGATAAAAGAAAAGTATTTTTCCACCACATCAAATAACATTTGAATTTAACCAGAAGGTTAGGACGAACCATCTTAAGACTTGTTTAATGAAGATGTGCTCACCTTTTGGAGACAGTCCAGAGGTCAGCACTATTGTGTGCTTCTTCTCTGTTCCTTCCTGCTTCTTTGGTTCCAGCAGGGGGAAAGTATTGCTCTTTTTAATGTTGCCGCTCTGCTCTGAGGGCTCTTTACACGGCTTTAGAGTGGCTGCTTTTTCCTTGTTGTGCACCCTGCATGGCGTGCTGTTAGAGCTGATGACGGCCGACACACGCAGCGGTACAGACACAGCGAAAGGCTCYGATATGTTGACGGCTCTGCGTTGGTGCCTTGGCGAGGATTCCAGAGGGAAGAAGCTTCCTGGGAACGAGGGCCGGGAGGAGCCTGAGTACAGCATCCTCCTGTTCTTTGGAGACGTGGGCTTGTAGCTGCTGAGGTCATCGCCTTTGAACACCTTCAGCTGCTCGGGTAGTGTCTTCTGGGAGGGCGGGGAAGCTCCCGGTGAGTCCCTTTGGTCCATGCCAGAGCTCCAGCTGGCTGCTGCGACACCAGCTTTCTTCCCTTTAAAGTCCCAGTTTTGGTCGTGTTCGTTCAGGTCAAGAAGCGAGTCGGATCCCAGGGTTCGGGATTTGACATCAGGAATAAAAATGTTGCTGGATCCACCACCTGGACTGCTGCCGCCAGGTCTGTCATCATCTRAGCAAACAGTGTGAGCACATAAAGGCAACAGTTTTACAACAAGACAAAGTTAAAACTGTACATTTTAAATAAAAAAAATGGCCTCCACCTGGTGGTAAAGACTCCATGCTTCTGGATGGACGTAGAGCTGCCTTTTCTGCAGAACACAATTCAACACAACACATTAGCACAACATAGACAGTAAAAAACTTTTACATTTTTAAATTTCCAAACATATTTATATAAGTTGCTAGTCTTTGAGCTAGCCCCTGAATTCAGGTTTTTGGTACCTTTTGGTGGGTGGACAGATTCTAACCTTCTTTTTTWAATTTAGGGAGGACCCCCACACCACAGAACAAGGTGAAATCCATGTGGGTCTCATTTTTTAAATGGGTAAAGGTGAAGTTTATGTACTCTCAGATGGTCAAAAGTGCAAATATTTAAAATGTTTTAAATGAAATTTGTACCAAATTTGGTTCAAATAGTACATTATTGTTCAGATGTCATAAACACACACACAAAATTATGATGCACTCATATTGTAWTGGAAACCACCAAGTTTAGGCAAAAACACACTTTTCCTTTGCTTCATAAATCTCAGAAAATCTGATATTGATGCATGGAAGTCAAACTAATTTAAGTTTTTTTTTCCAAATGATTACTGAAAGTCTTAAGGTTAAATATGTTCAATTTAAATACAGCACACATTGCATGATTTGAGTTAAAATCAGATCCACTTYAGAGCTGAGGACTCGTATTTAAACAACTCATCCGATGCTCATGCAAAAAAAGAAACAACAAAAAATCTAATTTTGTGAATGACAATCTACTTCAAAACATTTGCATATTTTAATGAACAAAACTGATATATGTTATAGGATGTCTACAAAACTATTTTAGACAAAAGAAGAAAAGGGTAAAGGCAAAAACTTTAGTGTTTCGTTCCATTTAAATGGCTGCTGAACTCACCTCTTCCCCCTTGTGCTCTTATGAACACGCTGCCGTTTCGGCTCAGTTTTCCCTTTGACTCTACAGATCTTCCGAGGTTAAAGATGGATTTCCACTTCTTTGATTTCCCAGAAAATTTTCTCCTGATAGACAAAAGAAGAAACGGATTATTTATAACGCCCAGCACAATCTGACAGATTTTACATCAACACAAACCTCGTGCTCGAACACTTTAAGGAACTGAACTTGAAGCTTACTTGCTGTCTGATATGTCGATGACGGTRTGATAGAGCGTTGCAGTGCTTGTGTCTGGGAGACTGTTCTCTCGCTGACGTTCTCTGTGCACAGGATGGTCCGGACTTAAGGAGCGGGCCCGGGCCTCTTCCAGACTCATTAACTTCATCGGCCCACTCTGGCCACTGATCGGGAGCGTGGCATACTTCTCCCCACACACCAGACTTGGTCCTGCACATGTAGAATCTGTTAGTGTTTTCCCCCCACAACCAGCAGCACAAAATAACTTGTTCATGCTCTTGAGCGTCAGACCTTCTTTGGGTTTTACTTGAGCAGAATCAGCACTGAAGATCTGCTCTGTGTGGTTTAAAATAAACTCAATCACTGACTGCTGGATCCGCACCTCCTGGAAAGCCATGTCTCCATTACCAGATGGAGCCTCAATGTTCTTAGATCTGCGAAGACAAATTGTGTGTTTAAGACAAAWACTGTACAATATAGTATCTGCATTACATTTTTAAAAGAAGTGAATTTAAGCAAGCTTTTAGTTCTCTGGTGTTTGGAATGTTTCAGTTTCCTTTGCAAAGTTGAACTCACCTTAACAGATTTGGAGCCCACACCAGGGCCAGGTTACGTGTATGCATRTTTGTCTGGGAGCTTAAAGTGGCGAGGCGGGCCAAATGCTTAGTAAGATACTCCAGAGTCCTGAAGATAGTTTGGAAATATAACAAAACCTTTTAAACTACAGCAGTGAAAACTGGACAACTTAAAGTGGACTCAGCTCGTGGGGTTGAATAAAGTTCACCTGTAGTGAGGGATCGGCAGCTCTTTGACGACATTCTGGATGTGTAAAAGTCTCTCATGGTCTCCCTGAACTGAGACAGCTTCCTGCAAGTAAAACACACACACACACACACACACACACACACACACACACACAC